GGAACTAAATGTGGATTGGTCCAAATGCTGACTTAAAAAAACCAAATAAAGCATAATTCCTTGGTAAGATTTGATTATGTTGGCCTCTTTTATTGAATTGCATTATAGCTAAAGAGAAAGTCACTCTTGTAGCTTAAGTAAATAAAACGTTACCATGCCGTTAATTCTACGTGATGGCCTCGCCCACCCCTAGAATCCTGATCACAGATCATTGCTTTAGCATTTCTCTCTTATGGCAAGAGGGACTCTAATGATCTGGGATTAACAGATGTGTTTAAATGCAGGAGTAGAGTATGATTATTGGAATTCCTCTCTGGATAAAGTTTAGGCTCATACAAGGAAAAGAGTATCTAGGGACATTAAAAGTTTTCTGAAGAAAAGTTTTTAGACAGCCAAAATAAATCTTAGAAATTTGGCGGAGTCCAACATGAATGTTCCCTATTTCAATTTTCATGATATAGTACAAACTATGGAGTAATCATTTGTGGACTTGAGAGATTTGACTTATTTCATGTACTATTGTATATTTATATGGGGATTTCTGGAATTTAAAACTGCATAGTATTATCTTCATAATATAAACATTGGTTTATAAAGATAGTCACTGAAAGAACATCATTAGTGACATTTTTATGCTTAAAGAAGATCCAAAATTTTATCTCCCTTCCCCCCCTTTCTTTTTCCTTCAGGGAGGATGGACTGCTCTCATGTGGGCATGTTATAAAGGCCGTACTGAAGTAGTAGACTTGCTTCTTTCCCATGGTGCCAATCCAAGTGTTACTGGTCTGGTAAGTATTAATAAGAAATTTGTTTGTAATATCAATAGTAAGTGTTCTTAGGGAATATTTAAGGCTGATTATACTTGACTTCAAAGCGGATACAAGTTTTCTGAATCGTATTAAGCAATAATAATGTACAATGTGCTTTCAAAACATAATGAAGATTTTTTTCTTAAGGTAAGTTAATTTCTCAATTTTTGTCCAACAAAAAGGCAGCTCTTAGAGTTTAAATACTAACTGTATAACATTTCAAAAAGAGATTTTGAAATCCGTAGTCATCTTCCTGTTTTTTTGTAATCGTGCATCCTTAAACCGAACTTCTTTAAAGAGACATTTACCAAATAACCATACCATTTTTCTATATATTCTGTTATATATACACACAATCCTCTTATTTTACTTTCTTCTAATTAGTATTGCCTCCTGGCTAGATAGTCACATTTTAGTGTGTTGA